TGGATTCGCCGATGCAGATGCCAACGTGGAAATGGATCAGGCGCCGCAGTTTACGCTACCCCAGCATTATGATCCTTCACCGGTGTATCATCCAGCAACCTTTAAGCAATTTGCACCCGGGACTCAATTTGATCGTGTCCCTGACACTTGCCAACGAAAGCTAGGCATATGTCATTTTGACGGTAAAGAATAGAATCAAGAATTGGGGGGCGGGTTCTTATCCTTAGGAAAGCGATTTTTTGGCAGATAAAATTTGTAGAAAGGGCTTGTGGTTATCCATGGAGCGAAGAAATAAAGGTTTATATCCTCAGTTACCATACGACCGGAGTAGCTGAGAGCTACTACAACAGTCGATTGAACTACGGTCGGAGTAGGAACTCACACTAAAACGTGCAATGTAGAGACTCCTACACACCTTTGTGACCAAGATTACGCCTGCGCAAAGTATGGAACTTTTCACGGCACCCAAAAGTGTAAGCAGAGAATGGTCGGAGCATTATATCACTTGGTTGCAGTGAGTTAGGCTTGCGGCGGCGCCGACAACGTTGTGCAGGACAATTTCGCGCTCTATTCCGAACCAACTATGAGAGTATCCATGCTGGTAAGATGCGCACGGATTAAGTACGGCAGAAAGAGGAGATTGCACACTTCGCGCAGTAAACGGAGACTGAACTGCGTAGAAGAGTGGGACGAGACGTCGTCAGTGATGTACAGACTGGTATAACGGGATGAGACGTTGTGGTAACGTACAGAATAAAAACAGATGTTTTCAAGTGCGAGAAGACGGCACATTTAATGGCGTTGTGTCATGATACAAAAGTGGGACTTGTTTAAATACAAAGACGCTAATTTTGTACTTGCCGTCCAAGGGACAACCAGTGAAGAAGGTTACTAGGTGCTAGAGAGAGTTCCAAGTCGTCACCTCGGCAACGATATTGACTTGCTAAACGAGGACTGTGTGAGCGAATAAATCACAGCTGATGGAGGAGCACTGTGTATCACAAGCGCAGTATTGATTTTATCAGCGTAACGCTGATGGGAAAGGCTGTCCAAGTGCGACTTCTCGACGTTCACTATGCCGAAAATCCGAAGAGGAATATCATTTCTTACGATCTGCTTGAGGCCAAAGTGTAACGGAGTGAATTGTTACATAACAATTTATAAGAAAGTGTTAATAGAATTTAAATGTAAGAGTTATATTCTCAGAATATTGTCATAAGGACAAATATTCTGCAGCACTTACGAGTAGTGCCTAATTGGTTGATGTAGCGCATTATATCAACCAACGAAGACGCGCCACGACGGACGCACGCAATGAGTGGTGAGCAGATAGTTGATATACACATTTGCATTCAGACATAGTTAGATGAGGATAAACAGTGGTTTATTGCAGACATTAACTATGATAAATACAGTTCTACTTTTTACTTTAACCAAGTACTCGCTTCTCCTTACCGTCTTCCTCTGCACGTACCAGTGTACGTGAAGCTACGCGGCACCGCCTTATTCTGTCATCAGAATAAGTAGCATGTACTGTCATCAGTACAAGCTTCAGGGTGCCCCGTTACACCTGGTAGCACTTTGTAGTCCGTCCAAGGACCACGTTCACATCTAACGTGAATATGTTAGATGATGATGATGATGACTAAAGCTTTCACGCTATGCGTGACGGCTACTCCCATTTGAGCGATGTCGAATGGGATGCGGTTGAACGGATGGGTTCAACCATGGGCATCCATGCTGTTAGCGTCATGCTAGAGGCTCTCAATAGAGATGCCCAACATGCTACTATCGCCAAGTTCATTCAAAATGAACTTGACGCTGAACGCGAGAAAGTAGCCTTGCTTCACCAACAAGGTTCTCAACAATCAAAGTTCTTGGGAGAACAGGATGATCAACAGTTTGAACTGTTGAGACAGCAGTTGGCTGCTGCTGGTGGGTCGATGCACTCGCGTCGACCCAAGACCTTGAAGATTGACATCTCTAAGTATAGGGGAGTCGAAGAGGACTCCCTCTTGAGATGGTTCGTCGAATTATACGACGCCATAAGGGCGCGTCGCATCGATGACGGGGATACGCAAGTTGCATTTGCCCAATTAAATTTAGCAGGATGTGCCAAGGCTTGGGCTCTGGTGCTCAAGTTTTACGACCCATATGCGTTTGGGTCGTTAGAAGTCTTCAAGTCGCGGCTCAGACAAACGTTTGAACCGCCTAGAGCTGAGTTCAGAGCTCGAACTAAACTCTTAAAACTCAAACAAGGTAAGCGTGATGTACACGCTTACGCACAACATATACGACATCTTACGAGTTGTATAAGTTCCAATCCGGTGGATGAACACACGTTGGTTTCGGTGTTCATGCAGGGTCTTGCGGATGGTCCCGTCAAGACCCACAAGTTCCGACTTGAACTAGATTCGCTAGAACAAGCAATTTCTATTGCGGAACAGGAAGACTTCAGTCTGAGACAGGCTCGTGCCAGCTCGACATCATATCGTCCACCGAGACGATATGACAGCGGAAGTCCAGAGCCGATGGAACTCTGTTATGTAGAGAGCGAGAAGGCTCGCTCTACAGACTACAAGAAGTTGCAGAAATGCAACAGATGTCAAAAGCCAGGACACTACGCTTACGAGTGTAGTGCCCCTCGTCCAGTGTCTCGCAACACTGGGCGTAGTGACCGTCCATCCATGATAAAGGGGCAGGGCGCGGGTCCGCTGTTGGTGCAAAGACGCAACAACGGGATGGATTGTCAAAAAACGGACAGGATCAGTAAGTGCGGAGCACCCTACTGGTACAGCAACGTCAAGAGAATTTGTAGGCCTCTTGATGAAGGTTGCTCCCAGCACACAAACGTTGTGCGTTGCTGCTCTGGGTAATGAGATCTCACTCATTACCTTGAAACTCGAAGAGACAAATAAGTTGTCCCTTCGAGCTCTAGTCGATTGTGGGGCGTCCAACAATTTTGTGCGACGCCAATCGCTAGAAGATGGTCACTTTAAGTTTAGTGAATGTGACGCACCTCCTACGAGGATGACGGTATGTCTTGCGACAGGCGCATCCGTAACCGTCATGAAGCGTATAGTGAAGATTCACTATACGCTAGAAGATACCCAATATGATGATGACTTTGTCGTATTGGATTTGGATGACAAATTTGATGTCATCCTTGGAATACCGTGGCTCAGAAGGTACGAACCACGAAAAAACTGGCAATATCGAACAGTAACGATGCCTGCCGCTTGTTCATCAGATGGCCATCTGATGAACGTTTTGGAGCGTCCACAAGCGTGTGGATGTACTACGAGTGAGTGCGATGGCCTCACTTGTGGTACGGTCGTTAGTACGACTGCACAAAACCTTAGTGTAACAAACGGTTACACTTCGGAGCAAAGTTCCGGCGGCTGTGAGGAAACACAGGCTGCGCCGAAGGTCCACCACTCGAATAAGTCGAGTGGACCGGGACAAAGATGTATCCCTAGCGGGGAATATCTAGAAGAGAAACAACCGATCGCTCAGGTTAAGCGAAACGATAATCCTAGATAGACTAAAGAGTCTTTCGTAGAGGATCTCGCTGTGGTTGCGCAACCCCAGCTAGAGGAAGTAAAGGGAATAAGTCCCGATATTACAGAAACGGTGGAAATAAGTTCCCCGAAACCCGAGGGAACAAGTCTCCGGGAAGCCGAAGGAATGAGTCCTTCGAAGCCTGAGGGAACAAGTCCCCAGGAAATGACAGAGACATTAAATGTCCTAGTCAATGACGGATCAAGTGTAGGCGCTGATACACTTGATCTGATTGTGCTTCCGAAGTTGACTTCGGAGATCACTCATTTGCCAACGCTCGAACATAAAAGGTTCTTGCGTGATCTGCGCAGTGGCAAAGTCAAGCAGATCTGCGTATTCGTCGCTGACGACGAGTGTGTAGCCGACATAAGGTCAGCAACAATGTTTACTGAGAACGAGAGAGTTCTCATTAGTTCATCGATGGACTAGAGTGTCCTCGATGAAAAGACACGAATTGAGCGATATGACTCCCAATCGTGGGAATCGCCCAAGACAAATCCTCTCTATGAAGATTTGGTTGAATTCAAGGATGTATTCCCTGAAACTGTTCCGTGCGAGTTACTCAAGGATAAAGGCACTCAACACGAGGTCGAGCTTAAACCAGGCTCGAAGTACTGTGTCATGAAGCAGTGGCCACTGCCTCGTGAACAAGTACTTGCGATCGACAAGTTCTTTGCCGATCGTTTAGCTGCGGGCCATGTGAGGAAATCAACTTCCCCACATAGCTCTCCGACATTATATGTAACGGGGTTGCACGAGATTATGGTACGTTGTACCAGAGGTGTTACACACCTGAGGTTACCCCTTTGTGAAGGTGATATAGAATATCTTATTGGTTTGTAGGGGCTGACGAGTGTCAGACATTAGGTACGAAAGATCTTTGAGTAGGATTAAGATATTCTATAGGCCTTAACAAAAATAAAATCAGTTCCCATTTTGATCGGAAGGACACGTGGCTTGCGAGCCGTCTTGATCGTTGATCACTGATCACTAAGTGCTAGCGACACCTCCTCGAGGTAGCTACTCTTGAGCACTGAGTGCTGTCGATTCACTGAATCGTTAGGCCCCCCTGGAACAGGGATCTGAAGCTGTAAAGCTTGTTGACTCGTAAAGTCATTAGTTCTTTGGAACTAAGTTGATCGTAGAGCGTTAAGTCTTCCTCTGACTTAAGGAGCTGTGTAGCTCCGCTACACTTGGTAGCACTTGTAGTCAATCTAAGCCTGAGTCTTTAAGACTGATCCTCTGTGGGGATGGAAAACTCCACTCCCCTATCTGAGGCCCAAAGATTTACGCTTGATAAGCTGACCGCATCTTTGGGTCCAGAGTACGTGGAGTTCATTGTTTCACAAGGTCCTGAAGTGCTTAATGCACGTGTTGAAAGCTTCATGCAGGATGAAGCGACCCTTTTAAAGCAGGTCCAATACCGAGTAGCGTCGGCTATGCCTACACGCTATGTGTCTGTACCAGACGAAGAGGCCAGGCCTCGTCCACTTAGAGTGGAAGTGAAAAACTACTCCGGTAAGGAGGGTGAGAACCTCATCCTCTGGATCCGTGAGATCGAGATGGCCATGAGATCAGGTCTGATCACGCTTGACCATCAACAGGTCTCGCTGGATATCTCGAAGCTCGATGGTAGAGCTAGAGAATGGGCCTTGACGTGTAGCACGTCGGTGGACATAGCGTTTCCCACATGGGAGTCGCTCAAGTCACAATTGGTACAGGTGTTTTCTCCACCTAACCAGGCTCACCGCGTGCGTTCACGCTTTCTTTCTACCCGCCAGGGTAAGAATGAACTATCGGACTATGTCCAAGAGCTGCGAACGCTCATGGCTGCAATGCAGTCTGACCCTCTGCATGGAGCAAACCATGACTATCTTCATGGAAGGTCTACGTACTGGCATTGCCAGAACCGAGGTTTTTCGGGTTCACCCCTCTACGTTTGAAGAGGCTGTGAGAATTGCTCTTATTGCTGAGCATAACTTCAATTCGGCCAGAATTGGTTGGAATGGGTACAATCCTCGCTCTGTGAGAGCAAACTATTCGGGTACCACTGCCTATAATAGGCCGGAAATGATGGATCTCAGCTATGCTGAAGATGGAGGTGAAGCTGAGCTTCAAGCTGCTGAGCAGCAACACGTCGTACGACGATGCTTCACGTGCGGAAGCACTAAAACTTGCGGCCTGGTTGCCCTTTGCGTAAGCAACGCCAGGCTACGAGCCAACAGTCGACCCCGAGTCAGAAGTCTGGCATGGCACGGGGAAATGCCGACACCCAGTACGCGGGGCGCCCTACTGGGGAGGAACTATGTTCTCTTACACCTCTAGAAGGTAAAGGAATGCAGGGCTTAGCCCCAAAGAGTACCATACCTACAGGTATGGTGCGTGGATACAAGTCTGGCTTGTTGGTCGCCGAGGCGAAAATTAAGGGCTTTGAAAAGCCTTGGTCGATATTGATCGATTCTGGAGCGTCTTGCAATTAAGCTCGACGCCGTTCCCTTGAGGGAAGTCAGAGTTATTCTGAGGCGCTTACAGCGCATGAGAGTGATTCTATCACGTTCCATTTAGCGACTGGAAGTCGCGTTACTGTGCCTAAAGTTCCATTGAACTTAGGTATGACGTTCTTAGACTTTGACAGTATTGTGCGCTGTCTTGTCCTAGATTTGGACTCGAGATATGATCTCATCCTAGGTATGGCTTGGCTTGAGCGCCGTGAGCCATGGATTGATTGGAGGTCCAAGACCTTAGGCGCTACGCGCAAAGTTCCTAGCGAAGCTTTAGAGAGTAATGAACCCACCTTCGCTAGGCAACAAAAGCGCTATTGGCGCGAGCCTTTGACAGAAGATGTCTATGTGCTGGATATTGGAATGTCTGAGTTATCTAACTCCAATGTTACAAACATAAGTTTCGAGCCTAGCTTGTCTGAAACTAGTGAAACGGCACGCACTCCGTTGAGTGGTACTCGTTGTGATAACGAGTCACTGCATGCTGAAAGCATGGTTGGCCTAGGGCCGAGTGACCAAGGATGTGATTCCTTTGATGTGTGTATGGTGGCACGTGAAACTACACCGAGTGCGGTCGGCCGTGAGAGCACCGCACTGAATGTCGGTAATGACATTTTTGGCGATACGCCATATAGTGTGGGCGGCCGTGAAGGCACCACGCTTTACGTCGGTAATGGCGTTGTTGGCGATTCGCCATATAGTGTGGGCGGCCGTGAGGGCACCACACCTGATGTCAATAATGATATTGTTGGCGATACGCCGTATAGTGTGGACGGCCGTGAGGGCACCACGCTTAACACCGGTAATGGCGTTGTTGGCGATACGCCGTATAGTGTGGGCGGCCGTGAGGGCACCACACCTAATGTCAGTAATGATACTGTTGGCGATACGCCGTATAGCGTGGACGGCCGTGAGGGCACCACACCTAATGTCAGTAATGATACTGTTGGCGATACGCCGTATAGTGTGGACGGCCGTGAGGGCACCACATCTAATGTCGGTAATGACCTTATTGGCGAGGCGCCGTTAAATTTGGGGCTAGGCCCGCATAATACACGTGGAGTGGCACGTTTCAAATCACTGGGTAAAGTGTTCGAGTTATGTAACACTTCACCGGATGTCGGTCGAGACAAAAGCATTCGTATAGAGCGTACTATGGTTGGTAGTAACCATGGGGACAATATCGTCCCGACCTCTAAGGGGTGTAAGGTCTCGAAGAGACGATCGAGACGCCGGGTAGCTACTTTTAAGCGCCAGGCGTCCTCACAGTCACAAAGTGATAATAGTAATACACTATATACACTTGTTAATGGAGTGACTGGTCAGGTTGATGGCAGTGTTTGCCTTGAAACCCTTCCACCCGTGGACGCTCTTTGTGAGCTAGACGAAATGTCTGATGGCGAGTTTAGCCAGGCCTTGAAGGCAGGAGAGTTATCCGATTTAGCGGTCATTACACCTGATACTGAGTTTAATTCTTCCTCGTTAATGGATGAGTCTGTCCTAGAGGATACAAAGGCGGCACTTAGTGCACGAAGTGGATCTTCGATCCTTAAAGATCCTTTGGATCCGTTCTATCCTTTTGTTAAGGAAAATAAAGATGTGGTGTGTCACAAACCACCTTCTGCCTTACCTCTCGATAGAGGTGTACGTCATGAGATTGACTTAGTTCCTGGAACACAATACTGTGTAACACGGCAGTGGCCTTTGCCTAAAGAACAGTGTGACGTCATTGATGAATTCTTTCGTGCTAAGCACGCGGCTGGAATGGTTCGTGAGAGCAAGTCTCCCCATTCAACACCGACATTTTGTGTCAAAAAGCCAAATGGCAAGTGGCGTATTGTGCATGCTTATAATAAGCTTTATGCAGCCACTATACCGGCGCAGACGTCTATTCCTAGAAAGGATGTGCTTCAGAACGATATGGCAGGATGTACATTATACAGTGCACTCGACTTAGTCGATGGTTATTACCAACTGCTCATGCGAGCAAGCGATATTCCGCTAACAGCGGTGAGCACTCCGAGCGGTATGCTCTGGGAGTGGCTTGTTATGCCACAAGGGCTATCTAACGCCCCGGCTACGTTTAACCGGCTGGTAACGCAACTATTCAGACCTCATCGAGGCTATGCACAAACGTACTTTGATGACATTTTTGTCCATAGTCGTGCAATGAATGGGCGATCAGATGTGGATAACCACATTGATCATTTACGAGCTGTGCTCGAGTGTATGCGGACGAATAAGTTGTATGCTAACGCATCGAAGTGCATCTTTGGTGCAGAAGAGATTCCCTTTCTAGGGTGCTTCATTGGGAAGCGAGGCCTTCGAGCGGATCCCGCTAAGGTGAAAGCCATAGTCGATTGGCCGGTTCCCAAGAACCAAAAGGACCTGCGTAAGTGGCTTGGCCTTGCCAACTACTTACATAAGTACAGTGCAAATTACGCAGATATGGCTCGGCCATTGTTTAATCTCCTTAAAAGGATGTGGATTGGTGTTGGAGTAACACCGAACATAATGCTTTTGAAGCAGTTAAGGGGAGTCTCCTTCATGCGCCAATATTGGCTTTGCCCGATTCTGATCGGCCTTTCAGTGTCGTCTGTGACGCATCTGACTTTGCCATAGGCAGTGCTCTGATACAAACAGATGTCGACGGACGCGAACGCGTCATCGCATTTGAGTCTCGGCAGCTGAAAGCTGCTGAAAAGAACTATCCTGTTCATGACAAAGATCTACTTGCTATGAAGTACGCTCTTGTCAAATTCAGAGTCCATCTGCTTGGCTTTAAGCCGTTTGTGATCTGTACAGATCATGCGTCATTACGCACTGCGACACAGTCGCCTCACCTTTCACAGAGAATGGCTCGTTGGCTTTCTTTCTTTGCCGAATATAACTTCGAGGTGAAGTACAAGCCAGGTAAGCAAAACGCTTTGGCTGATGCGCTATCGCGTCGACCTGACTATGAGCTTGCTCATGTTACGACTCTGTCGTCGTCAGTCCCTGACTTAATTCGTGCGGCGTATGCCAAGGACGATCAGTGTGTAGCTTTCTACGTGCTCTTGGGAGCGATGAGTTTAAAGACTCGGACATAGAGTTGTCGGCACGTTTACGTGCGAGGCTACATCGATATTCCATCGATAATGGCCTGTTGTGCTATCGCACGGATATTGAGGATAAGCCTCGTATCGCTGTACCTCATGATGAGAAATTAAAGTATCGAATCCTCTATGAGGCACATGATACTGCTTTAAGTGGTCATCTCGGTCGTGAGAAGACTTATAGCTCGGTAATCCAAAGTTATTGGTGGCCCAAACTTTATAAGTGGGTGCGCACCTATGTGCGTACGTGCGAAACGTGTCAACGAGTTAAACCCTCGGCACATGCGGCGGCGCCGCTGGCTAGTTTGCCAGTACCCACTGGTTGTTGGGAGTCCATGAGCTTGGATTTTGTTTGGCCTACCGAAAGATTCGGAAGGCAACACTGGTATTGTGGTCTTTGTTGACCGATTAAGCAAAATGGCTCACTTAGCGGCAGTGCCGGATAGCATCGATGCTGAAGGTACAGCAAAGCTGTTTATCGACCGTGTGTTTCGCCAACATGGCTTGCCGGTGGCAATTATCTCTGATAGAGACCCCCGCTTCACTGACAAGTTTTGGAAGTCTATCTTCAAGGTGCTTGGCACTCGGTTGGACATGTCCACAGCGGATCATCCGCAGACCGACGGTCAAACTGAGCGTGTAAACCGCGTCATCAACGACATTTTGCGCAGTATTTGCGCTGATACGCCTAGGCGTTGGAGCTCAATGCTCCCTGTTGTTGAGTTTGCGTTAAATAACGCTGTTTATGCCTCCACAGGCTTTACTCCGTTCTATATAAACGGCCTCACTCACCCTCGCGTTCCGTTAACGCTATCACTAAGTGAATCAGGGCTTGGTGGGGGAGAGGTTGCCGATCGGCTTGCTGATATCAGCCCTGCTACTGTTCAAAAACAGGTAAGCGAGTTTCTCGCAACGCGATTAAATGTCTTAAGACATGTGCGTGACGCAATGGCTGATAGCCAAGATACCCAAAAACAACAAGCTGATGCCAAAGGCAGAAATTGTAACGAACGTTATGAGGTCGAAGACCAAGTACTACTCAATGCTAAAATTTACCTACAAATGTAGTGTCTGCTGTCTTTAAGACAAAGTTGCGTCCACGCTTTATTGGACCGTTTACGGTCACGGCCAATAAGGGACTTGCGTATACGCTAAACCTCCGGCGCAAATTGCGCACACATCCAGTGTTCTACGTAGGCTTTCTTAAGCCGTACACGGATCCTTCCCATGTAAACTTGGAGGTGCTTGCGCCGACGACAAGGGCACTGCCGCGGATTGCTGTAGACGAATCAGCAAGTCCAACTGAGCCTCGCTCCGAGTTTGAGCTTGCTCTATCGTCTGAAGGCGGCTTTGCATCGCATCCAGCATGCACTGGGACTTACCCAAGGCCTCTTGAAGACCCTTCACTTCGAAAACCAATTTCTCGTGGGCCTCCACCGGTACATCGGCCGCTACCGACTTTGCTCGATGAGCATGGGTGTCGTCAATTTCATGTCGAGGGACTACTGAAACGACGTCGTGGTCAGGGCCAATACCAGTATCTGGTAAAGTGGCGTGGGTACCTTGAGTCTGAAAACTCATGGGAATTTGAGGTACCCCTTCGGCAAGACTGCCCATATGCTTTATAGGCTTTTGAGCATCGTGGCCATGGTCATCTCGAGGCCGAGGCCGTTCCCCGCCACTAGTGGTGCGGGTTGGCGGGTTGTTGGCCACAGACTGACCAGCACTCGCGGCTACCTTAGTAGTCGAAGCATAGCGCGTGCGCTTGCGCAATTGGCCTCTGGCCTTAAGCTTGGCATAATCATACCGAAGCTTGCGTTCAAGACGCACGTCAGCCACTCTGGCACTAGCCCTTAGAGCAAAAATGTTGCTGAGGCGACGCACATAGTGCACCCAGTGAACAAAGGCATCGTCTTCTTCGCTCACTGTATCGCCTGCGAACAAGAGAATGGGTATACCCTTGATCGGTGGAACCGGTGTACCACGCGCTTGCATGTCAAGGCGTGCCTTGTATTGACTTTGAATCGTTAGGTGCGGCTCCAGGTACCTCTCGCGAAGTGCCTGGCAGCTCACCACCTCCTCAGGAGTCTTAGGCCCATGGCCAATGACCCACGTTGCCATTGTTTGGCCGGCCGCTTGACGTAGACGTTCCTCCACACTGGGTGGGGTGAACACATAGTCACGCTGGCGTTCAAGGGCTGTAGCCATTTGTACATGACGCTGAGCGTTTTCTTCTCTTTGAACAAGCAGTTGTTGTTGCTCATCGAGCGGGTTCGTGATGATAGTCTCATCAGATCCAAACGCTGCATACTGCGCTGGTGGCGCGCTCGCACCTCCACGTTCAGCGAACGGATTTAGGGTGTTCAAAAGTTGTGCCTCAGGCATCAGTGAGCCGGACATTGTCCCTGTATCACCGCGGACACTGGTATCGCTACCATAGTCCACCTCCTCCTTTATCCCGAGGTATTCACACAGAGCCTTTGACTCGTTTGGTGATGAGGACATCGTGCTGGAGCGTACGTTACCATGAGGTTTACCGTACGCGCACTGTTCTAGCTGAGAACACAAGTTCGATTGACGTTTTGGCAAACGTCAGTCTGGTGGGGGAGGGTGTCACGGGGTTGCACGAAATTATGGTACGTTGTACCAGAGGTGTTACACACCTGAGGTTACCCCTTTGTGAAGGTGATATAGAATATCTTATTGGTTTGTAGGGGCTGACGAGTGTCAGACATTAGGTACGAAAGATCTTTGAGTAGGATTAAGATATTCTATAGGCCTTAACAAAAATAAAATCAGTTCCCATTTTGATCGGAAGGACACGTGGCTTGCGAGCCGTCTTGATCGTTGATCACTGATCACTAAGAGCTAGCGACACCTCCTCGAGGTAGCTACTCTTGAGCACTGAGTGCTGTCGATTCACTGAATCGTTAGGCCCCCCTGGAACAGGGATCTGAAGCTGTAAAGCTTGTTGACTCGTAAAGTCATTAGTTCTTTGGAACTAAGTTGCTCGTAGAGCGTTAAGTCTTCCTCTGAATTAAGGAGCTGTGTAGCTCCGCTACATTATATGTGCGAAAAGCCACATGATGGTGGCGGATTGTGCATGCATTTAACAAGTTGAATGCCGTAACGGTACCGGCTCAGACGCCGATACCAAGGAAGGACGTAATCATTGATGGTATATCAAAGAGTACCATCTTTTCGTCCACGGATTTGATGGATGGCTTCTATCAAATCCTTATGCGAGAACGGGATATACCCTATACCGCAGTGAGCACGCCTAGCGGCATGCTCTGGGAATGACTAGTAATGCCTCAAGGGCTAAATAATGCCCCTGCCACGTTCTACAGATGTGTATCACATCCGTTGAGACCAGTACGAGAATTCGCACCGAGTTATTTCGATGACGTTTTCATTCTTAGTCGGGCTATGAATGGAAAGTCGGACGTTGAGGTTCGCAGATACCACGTTCGACAGGTTCTTACAATCATACGAAAGCATCAGCTGTATGCAAATCTCAAGAAGTGTATATTTGCAGCAAGCGAAATACCACCTCTTGGGTGCATCGTTGGTAAGAACGGTGTACGTCCTGATCCCAAAAAGAACAAGGCGATCACCGACTGGCCCGTGCCGGTTGATGTCAAAGGTCTTCGAAAATTCCTTGGGCTAGCGGCGTATTTGCATAAGTATTCACGCAATTACGCCGAAATGACTGTGCACCTCTCTCGTTTGTTGAAAAAGAACGAGAGGTGGTTATGGAACGCTGAATGTCAGCGCTCCTTTGATGGTATCATGCAGAGCTTGATACAATCCTCAGTCCTAGCAATTGCCGATCAGGACAGGCCATTTCATGTGGTCTGTGATGCCAGCGATTTCGCAATCGGCTGTGCACTAATGCAGTACGATCTTGAACGCGTCGTCTGCTATCAGTCGCGTCAGCTGCAACCAGCTGAGCGGAACTATCCAGTGCATGACAAGGAACTCCTTGCCATAAAGTATGCACTCGCGGAGTTCAGAGTCTATCTATTAGGAGATAGACCCTTCATTGTTTACACTGACCATGCGTCATTACGCACGGCAGTGAACAGCCCGCACCTTTCACAACAAATGGCGCGGTGGCTGTCATTCTTTGCAGAATACAACTTTACAGTCGAGTACAAACCAGGACGACTCAATGTCATCGCTGATGCACTCTCACGTCGTCCCGACTTTGAACCAGTCGTGAAACCCAACAGTGAGACATTCACTGTTGCGGTTATGACGTCCTCAGTACCATCTATAACGTTACATGATGATGTGAGGCGGGCGTATGCCCAAGAAGGCGAGATTGTGAAGTTGTTTACACATCTCTCACAACCATCTCGAGAAACGTTGAAACGATTGTCGCCTGCGTATCGATCTGCATCAGATCGATACACTACTCCAACGGGTTACTGTGTTATACAGCCGTTACTGGTGACACACCACGTGTTGTCATCCCAGATGATAATGACCTGCGCTTGCGGATCATGTTCGAGTATCACGATGCTCCTATAGGAGGACATCGTGGCCGGGAGAAAACATATCTCACGGTGAGTCGAGACTTTTACTGGCCCCGCCAGTATCAGTTTGTGCAACAGTATGTTCGCGCATGCGAAATCCGTCAACGCGTGAAGTCAAGTCCTTCACTGCGTGCACCTTTACAGCCTCTACCAGCTCCGGCAGAGTGCTGGGAATCCATCTCAATGGATTTTGTCTTCGGGTTACCCAAAGACGCACGCGGGAATACGGGTATCCTCGTATTTGTTGACAGATTCAGCAAAATGGTACACCTTGTGGCTGTACCAGAGTCAATCACAGCAAGTGGCTGTGCTTGTGTCTTTATCTACACCATCTTCCGACTTCATGGGTTACCCCGTGAACTTGTATCAGACAGAGATCCACGCTTCACAGCTGATTTCTGGCGCTCCGTGTTCAAATCACTCGTAACGCGCTTGAAGATGTCGACATCTGATCATCCAGAGTCAGATGGTCAGACGGAACGCGCCAATCGTGTCCTCGAAGAGATACTTCGAGGATACGTACACTCCTTTAAGAGTTGGAGTGAGTTCTTGCCCATGGTAGAGTTTGCCATCAACAACTTGGTGCATGCGTCCACGACACATACACCGTTTTACGTGAATGGCTTACGCCATCCGCGTGTACCCACCTTACTAGAGTGTAACTCTGGTTTAAGGGGAAGAGGGACTCGCGCGAGCAAAAGCCGATTTGGTTCACGCTCATCACGCTCTGACGATGAGGTCATTGCGGTGATGCCGATATCGACAACATCGATATCGAAGAAGATGATGCCAGTGAGAGCGAGGAAGCCCTCACTGAAGAAAATTTTTGATGTCGCTGCAGTGCACTCACAGCGCACTGAAGCTAACGAGTCATCAGATGAGTTCATACTGGCTCGTGAACGGTAGTCCGTTTTGTGCAAGATTCCATCGCCGAAGCGGTGGATAAGCAAAAGCAAACCACCGACAAGAATGGAAGGGCGAACACTCTTTCATTTAATAAAGGTGACTTAGTCCTACTGTCTACGGTTAATCTACCAAAGCATGTAGTGACTAACGTGGGTAGTAGTAAACTTCTATCCAAGTAAATCGGCCCATTTCGTGTATTGCATCGCCTAGGCAACGCATACACGACCGAACTGCCACGTAAGATGGGAACGCATCCCACGTTTTACGTTGGTCGGCTTAAGCCGTACCATCAGTAAGCTGTTTCTTCTGATGAAGAACGCCCTTGCGCTCAAGTATCTCACAGAGAGCCTTGTGCTCCCGATGATGGATATCAACAAGGGTCTGAAGAGCAGTTATCTCAGCCCGAGACCGGTCGATATCTACACGAGCTACCCTTAGCTCGTCACGCAGAGATGTCAACACTCTCTCGTTCTCAAGCTGAGCAAAGGCAAACTCAGCTCGATGCTTCAAGACAGTGTCCGCCATTTGGAGACGCCTGTCCCGCTCATGCTCGAGGTCGCCGCGCAACGCAATAGTTACGCGATCAAAGAGGCTCTCGGAAACACACGCTCCCTCACGATAGTTTGGAGAGCGTTTCCCTCCTCCTCCACCTCCTTTAGAGGACTCTCGCGGTGGCCAGCGCTATCTGATTGAGCGGCTGTTGAACCACAGCGATGTGAATGGACGTCGGACGAGTTACCTCGTCCGGTGGCGCGGTTATCCCCCGTCCTGGGATACTTGGGAGCTCCGCTCCCAACGGATGGTTGACGTAATGGGTCTGGTTAAGCAGTACGACGCGGCACATCCTGTGCCGCAGAAGGACCGCCGGAGAAAGTCTTCCCGGCACGGTCGTAAAGGGATTTCAGGTTGTCAATCCCTTCGTACATCTCAGTAGAGATACGTACGCGCCACCACGGGCTAGTAAGGAGGTAAGCCTCCTTAGGTGCGCGCGCTGAGTTGTTTACACAACAAGGGCACGGGTCTCCCCAGGAAAGACAGGGTAATCCACCCTTCTTTGACAGACGATGCAGTTTATAGCGTGCACCTGTCAGGGTTCTTTTCTCAAACTTATCATGAGCTTTGATAAGTTTATCGTTCCAAATGTCACGACCTACATCCTCAAGGTTATGGATGTAAGCGTTCCACGCTTGAAGCAGTGAGGGACCATCACGTTTGTGATTCCCACTGTACCATCGATGCTTAAAGAAAGCATCGATGAAGAATTCATGCTCAGTGTGATAGTTTTTCGCACTGGGGTCAAGGTGATGGATCCTTGATGAATCGAACAATCGTGTTCGATAGCGATCACTTGTCGTCGCCGACAAGCGATCCATGACTGACTTTGGAGGCATCCATGCCTTCTTCTCAGGAGCGAGACGCAACACATTGCGGTCCCGCTCTTCCTGCGACGTGCCGACAGAAGTACTGGCACCTCGTTGCGAAGTGGTGTCAATAGGAGAACCGACACCACTGTTAGCGCCCGAGTCTTGCGATCTCGAGCGCCTTCGCTTTGGCGATGGGTCATCTGATTCGTCAGACGAACCAAAGATGCTACGAAGCGTGCATCATCCATGCCACGCTTGGCAGACCGCTTGGTTTCAACCGCCTTCGATACAGATCCCTCTTTCGTATCAGGAGAGTATGAGAAACCGAGCTCATACTCTGTGAAGACATGAGTGTCTTCATAACGAGCGTCTGCATCACCAGGTGATAATGACTGAGACACTTTAGCAACCGATGACACATCGGTTGGAGCGGTTTCTGCTTCGGCGACTGCTCAGAGACGTGCAGACACGCTCTCAGCGACCTTGTTCGTGCACCGCATGGACTTGTTAACCATGCGATGAAACTGATGGACTGTGGAGTCGGACCAACAAGTGCAAACCCCGTCCCAAATGATTTGGGACGAGTATCCATTTAGTCAATCAGTCACTAAAGTGACTGATGGTTAAGGGGGGGGTGATGTAACAAGGTGAATCGTTACATAACAATTTATGAGAAAGTGTTAATAGAAAATAAAAATAAGAGTTATATTCTCAGAATATTGTCATAAGGACAAATATTCTGTAGCACTTACGAGTAGTTCCTAATTGTTTGATATAGGCCATTATATCAACCAACGAAGACGCGCCACGACGGTCGCACGCAATTAGTGGTGAGCAGATAGTTGATATACACATTTGCATTCAGACATAGTTAGATGAGGATAAACAGTGGTTTATTAGCAGACATTAACTATGATAAATACAGTTCTACTTTTTACTTTAACCAAGTACTCGCTTCTCCTTACCGTCTTCCTCTGCACGTACCAGTGTACGTGAAGCTACGCGGCACCGCCTTATTCTGTCATCAGAATAAGTAGCATGTACTGTCATCAGTACAAGCTTCAGGGTGCCCCGTTACACAAAGGATGTGGTATTTCCTACCTTAAGCATGATCGTGTGGTTGCTGGTATACATATTAGGCCAGCTATTTTCGACGGCAAGACATCGAAAACGTTCTGGTTGTGCGTGCGCTAGGATGCGAAAGCGCGAAGAGCGTCAGTGACATTCTGATGTCCGTGATGGGACAGAACGAGGCACAGATGATGCAGGACATGCAGTAAGGATCTTTGATGCATTATCATCGACATTCAGGACATTTAAATTAAAACACAATCTGTACGCATGGCTAAGGTTCCTCACTCTGAAATTTAACTCACGGATGTTGATTGCACAACTTGTCTAGCTTGCACGCAAGGAAAACAAAGCAAGAACCAGCAATCTCGCATGGACAAGGGAAGCAACTTGCCAATTGAAATCTTGAAAAGGTGATCTGCTCCGATCTTAAAGGGACAATGAAACCTAAAGATCTTTTCGGTAACCGGTACATGGTTAATCTTATCGACCACCGTGCTAATCACTACATATATTATTTGTCGAAGACCAAGGACATCGCATATTAAAAGATCAAGCACTTTATGGATTTCTTCGAACGACAATTCAAGTGTCGCATATACTTATTCAGAACAGACGGAAGCGCCGAGAACTAGACGTTGGATTTTTTTGCAAGAAGACCGGCATCGCGCTGCAAATAAGCAAACCAAGAAAACCAAGACAGCAACGTGAAAGCCGAGAGAATGCCCCGCACCTCAATGAACATAGTGCAAAGCAGGATAGTTGCCTGTGGTTTACTGTTGAGCTTTTGGGGGGACGCCGTAAGTACTCGGCGTATAATCTAATTAGAAGTCCCCTTAAGGACAACAGAGACAGGAAATCTCCACTGCAAATGCTCACAAACATCACCCCCGTACTCAGCACTATCGTGGCATTTGGATCAGCATGTACAGAACACTGCGTCACAGGGAACAAATATTTGGGCGAGATAGGCAAGGCTGGTGTAACTATCGGAAGAAGTAATGAAATCAAGGGCTACCGTGTAACGGGGCACCCTTTGTTTGGGGTGCCGAGAAACTTCACGTACACTAGTACGTGCAGAGGAAGCTTAACTACTTGAACGACGCGATCAAGTAAAGGTAAAAGAGAACTGAATTTTATATAGTTAAGCCATCAATATAACTTTAATCTTTATCTAACTATTTAAAATACGCCGTCGTATGACGACAGCCTGCTCACCACTCATTGCGCGCGTCTAGCAGCGATTGGTGTCAATCTATGGTTGATAAGTCTTATATCAACCAATCTTCGAGCAGCGAATGAATGCTTTACAAAAGGGTTAATATTCCTTCAAAGTTACCCATCTCGGATAATATCGTTAAAATTTTGTCATACTAGACACTGTTTCTAATGACATCTTTTGTTGTCGATTTAATGTAACGGGCTACCCCGTTATATCCCGCCCCGTCCCCTTAACCATTAATCACCCGTTAATTGAATCAGAATTGATTGGGACAGGGTTACCACCTTTGGATCACTCTGGGAAAGGGAGCACTTGTTTGTCAAATTCCATTTATTTGCCAATCCAACGCATGGTTTCAAAAACCACGGAACTGCTACTGCAGCAACGAGAAAGGCGGCTGCACGCATGCGTGCGGCCGCGGAAAGTGCCTCTCACGCCTCAGCAGCAGGCGATTCGTCGCCTGTTGTCGTGAATCCTCCACGTGGTGAGTCACCACGTGCGACAGGTGCATCCGTTGCGTCTGCAGCGGGAACCTCGAATCGTAATCCAGCCGATTCTGAGATAGAGCTCATCTATTCTGGCGAGTCGGATGATGCATCCGACTCGTAGGCGACTCCTCACGCCTCGGGATCACCCGGGGCTGACGCTGCAGAAGCCAGGCTGACTGGATCTGGTCAGCGCGGCAGCATCATGATCGAGATCCTCGTATCGAGTTATTAATCCAATGAGTCTCCGCCTCACGCAATTCCATCCAACGATAGGACGCGTGGAGATGGTGATGATGCATCTATGCATCATCACGAGCGAAGCAACTCAAGGGATCGGGGTAACACTGGTGCCAGTGCTCATGCTGGCACCAATCAAGAGTCCAGGGACCGAAAGTCCTGTGCCACGCTCCTCAAGTGAAGTCGCCTTAAATGCCGTCATCCAAGGAGTTGGACCGGTTGGCCGGCATGACTACTGAACGGGATTGAATTCCGTTGTTCGAGTGCAGGAATATTTGCCCACCTGATTCCAGCACGGAAACTATCCCTGCTGAGGAAAAGTTCTTCACCGATGCGTATATTAAACATCGGTGGTACAGTGGTAGCCGTGTTCGAGACGGCAAAACCTTGGTGCAGGGATGGAATGCCCTCATCCACAACATCGAGTGTATTGGCCGTGAGGCTTGGCTCGCCAAACTTGATGCAGCTTGCATCAGGTTTAATAAAAACGCAACCCCGTCAGGGCGCGATACAAGTTGCACCGGCTTCAAGAGAGGCATGATTACCCTGTCTCTCGTGGGATAATTGTGTCCAGGTTGCCTGGACAACTCAAACCGTGCCGCTAGGGAGGCCTACCCCTCCCTCCCTATTTCCCACTGGAGGGCGCGCATCTCTTCCGAGGTGGTCGAAGGGATCGACACTTTGCAATCCCTGTAATCGCGTTCGGGGAGGTCATTTTCCGAAGGCCCTTCTTCGAACGCAGCGGATGGGTCTCGTCGAACTGCTCTACGAGACCAAGGACATCAACAATCAGCTGGGCACGAGGCTTCCAGCTGTCCCACGCCGATAGATAGACACGCCAGCGGACGAGGTAACTCGTCCTGACGCCATTCACATCGCGTTGGTTCAAAATACGCTCCGCAAGGTAGCGTTGATTACCGCTTGAGTCCACTAAAGGATGTGGTGGAGGCGGGAACATCTGATCCAGCTCGAGGGTTGTATCAGCTTGATGTTCAAGAGCTGCACTGTACAAAGGAACAGTTGCAAGATGACCTGGCTCAGGAACGGACTCGTCGTTATGAGATTCATGACCTTGTATGAAATAATTACAATTCCTTAACGCACGGTCGTTCGGACGATCGTGCCGCGTTTGCGTTCGCGCAACTTGAGAACGAACCTTCGACTCGTTCTCTTCGTGATGAGCTGACTGGAGCTCGTCAGGATATCGCTCAACTGCATGGGCAGGTCGCTTCGCTAGTCAATTAGACTGGATCGTTGAAACGGGACCACTCGAAGGTGGTCTCGGCTCTTGACCGTGGAGGTGTTCTTCGCCTTTCGGAACGGGCTCGTATCGATAGTACAGGCGGAGACGTTAGGCGTAAAACGCAGGATGCGTTCGCATCCTAAAAGGCAGTTCAATCGTGTATGTGTTGCCCATGCGGAGCAACACACGAAATGGACCGATGCGCTTGAGCAGTAATTTACTGCTGCCAACGTTTGTCACTGCGTGTTTCGGTAAGTTTACTGTAGACAGTAAAACTAAGTCTCCTTCATCAAATGAAAGAACATTTGCTCTTCCATGTTTGTCTGCGTTTTTTTTCTGTCTGTCTAGTGCACCTGCAATAGAGTTTTGAGCGAAGCGAACAACCGCTTCGCGAAACAGCAGAAATTCCTATGCTTATTCATCCTTGTTAACAACAGTGCGCTTCGTGTGCACTGCTGAAAGAACGTTGTCTTCAACAGTGTGGGTGTCATCGTCCTCACTTCGGCAGTCGTTAGCGATACTGAATATACCAGCATCATCGTCAGCATCGTCATCAATGTTGATGTAGTTGACATCGGCATCCATTACGTCGACACCATTGCCGACGTGCGAAGAGCAAGAACCAAATCGAATTTTTTTCGAGCGAGTCCACCCCCGCCCCTTAAACAAGAGTCACACTCTAAGAAGGCGGGTAAACGTGGATGGCGTAGGCCACTCACGAACTACGGTGTATGCGTTGTCGACGCATGCACCGAGTTGTTGATGGCGAATTTCGCCATCGGCAAGAACTCACTCCAACGCGTAAACGAGTGGACGTGCCCTCGAAGTATCTCTTCGAGGACGCGGTTGACGCGTTTCGTTCGACCATCTGTGTCGGGATGGTCAGAAGTTGACATCGTTGAACGCGTTCCAAGTGAACGGAACACGAATTGTCAGAACTCCACCCTATCGGACACGAGTTCACGGGGTAACCCGTGAGGTCGGAAGATAGTATTAATGAAGACACGCGCACAGCCCTGGGCTGTGATTGAATCCGGTACAGCAACAAGATGTACCATCTTGCTGAACCGATCAACAAACACAAGAATACCAGTATTCTTGTGAGCGTGTTTGGGAAACCCAAAGACGAAGTCCATCGATAAGGACTGCCAACACTCTGTTGGAATCGGAAGAGGCTTCAAGGGTGCGCGGGATGAAGGACTAGGCTTCACCTGTTGACAAACTACGCAAGCGCGAATGTACTTGCGCACAAAATCATACTGGCGGGGTCAGAAAAAAAATTCACGACTCACCATGAGGGAATCTTTTCTCTACCGCGATGCCCACTTGTTGGGGCATCGTGACACTCATACACGATGCGCAATGGAAAATCATCATGAGCCAGAACGACGACACGAGGTGTGTCTCCTTTACCTGCTGTATAGTACAGCAGTCCATCACGAACCGAATACCGTTCGGTTAGAGAGCAGTATTGAGACGACAAGCTTTTCAAAGCTTGACTGCATGGATTAAAGACTTAATTTATCAATAGCAGAAGAGACTCATCTTCTGTGTAGGCTTTTCGAACGTCATCGAGCAGATTCGACGACGGAATACTCACTGTTAGTGTCGCGACAGTGGGATCATCCCTACTGTTTTGTTGAGCAGCCGGCTCGAAATCGGGCCGACGCGAAAGAGCATCAGCGACGACATTAAGCCGTCCTGGTTTATACTCGACGGAGAAGTTGCACTCCGCGAAGAAAGACAGCCACCTCGCCGTTCGTTGCGAGAGGTGTGGACTGTTTACGGCCGTGCGTAATGACGCATGGTCGGTATAAACGATGAATGGCCTGTCCTTTAGGATATAGATGCGAATCATCGCCAGTGCGCACTACATGAAAAGGAGCTCCTTATCATGCGCTGGATACTGAGGCTCAGTTACTTGCATCTAACTCGATTGAAAACAGACGACGCGCTCAATGCCGTCTGAGTCAAACTGCATTAACGCGCAGCCGATCGCAAAATCGCTGGCGTCACAGACCACATGGAGTGATCTGTCCTGATCTGAAATCGCCAACACAGGCGATTACACCGAGCTTTACTAAATGCCTTCAAAAGAGTGCTGACACTCAGCGTTCCATAACCACCTCTCGTTTGTCTTTAGTAGACGAGAGAGGTGTACAGTCATCTCGGCATAGTTGCGCGAGTATTTGTGCGAATACGCTGCCAAGCCAAGGCAATTTCGAAGTCCCTTGACGTCGACTAGCACAGGCCAGTCGCTTATCGCCTTGTTTTTTTCCGGATCAGGTTGTACATCTTCCCCCCCCCCTCGATGCAACCAAGAAGTGGTATTTCGTTCGCTGCAAATATACACGAACTGAGATTCGCGAACAATTATGCTTACGCATAAGTGTAAGAGGCTCACGGACGTGTACTCAACGAATATCCACGTCTGTCTTCCCATCCACAGCCCGGCTATGAACGAAGACATCGTCATAAGTAACTCGGTGCGAAGTCGCGCACCGATCGCAACAGATTCAGAACACATCTCTTGAACGTTGCAGGGGCATTACTTAGCCCCTGTGGCATCACTAGCCACTGCCAGAGCTAACCATTGGGGTTGTCACTGCTGTTTACAGGATGTTTCTTTCACGTATGAGAATCTGATAGTATCCATCCATCACATCCATGGATGAAAAGATGGTACTCTTTGCCATACCATCTATGATGACGTCCTTCCTAGGTATCGGCATTTGAGCCGGTACAGTTGCAGCATTCAATTTGATGAACGCGTGCACTATCCGCCACCCTTCTGTGGCCTTTAGCACACAGACGTTCGGAGAGCTGTGTGGAAATGTTAATTTCCTCCACATGACCAGCCGCTAAGCGATCGGCAAAGAATTTGTCGATCGCTGTGACCTGTTCACGAGGCAGTGGCCACTGCTTCATGACACAGTATTTCGAACCAGGTTTCAGTTCGATCTCATGCTGAGTGCCTTTGTCCTTAGGCAGCTCGCATTGCACGGATTCAAGGAAAACATCCCTGAATTCCACCAAATCCTTATACAAAGGATTTGTCTTTAAAGACTCCCAAGATTGAGACGTGTATCGCTCAATCCGGGTCTTCTTATCGAGGACACTCTCGTCCATAGATGAGCTACTGAGAACCGTTTGTTTTCTCAGCAAACACTTGTGCCGACCGAAGATTGGCGACGTACTCGTCCTCTGTGACAAGTACGCAGATCTGCTTGATCTTGTCACCACGGAGATCTCGCAAGAATCGTTTAGATTTTAGCGTTGGCAGCTTGACTACCTCCGAAGCTGACTTCGGGGGCGTCACCAGATCAAGTGTATAAGCGCCTACACTTGATCCGTCATTCACTAAGACATTAACTGTCTCGGTCTTTTCCTGGAAAAACACGTACGCAGGTGGTTGGGGATCCACACTCTTACCATAACTCTCTCGGGACTTATTGCTCTAAGGAACGCCAAATTTTCTTCCGTTACGGGTACTGTCGCGGTCACGTTCTCGTTAATTGACTCTCTTTCAGTCGATCGGGCTTGCTCTACGATCGACTCTCTGATTGTCGATCTCGCATCAACGTGTTGTTCATCCTGAACAACACTACTCTCTCTTCTCGGATACACCCTTCTTGGTGTGCATCCGTGTTCCAGTCCACTCGATCTCTTCGAGTGGTGAACCTTCGGCGCAGCCTTAGTCTCTAAACAGGATCCGGAAGCTGGTTCCACAGTGCAGTGGCCTTCTACAGACCGTACCACAAGTGAGGCCATCGAACTCACTCGTAGTACGCCCACACGCTTGTGGACGCTCCAAGACGTTCATCAGATGGCCATCTGATAAACAAACGGCAGGCATCTATACGGATCGATGCTGCCAGATAACCCATGGCTGGTACTTTCTAATCCATGGCACACCAAGGATGACATCAAATTTTTCATCCAAACCTGATACGACACAGTCATCATCGTGCTGATTTCCTTCTATCGTGTAGTGGATTCCCACTGCACGTTTGTTCACTGTTACGGATGCACCTGTAGCAAGGCACACCGTCATTCTCGTTGGAGGGAACTCTCGCTCAACATAGTTGAGCCTACTACCTTCTAGCGACTGGTGTCGAATGAAACTGTTCGACGCACCACAGTCAACTAGGGCGCGAAGTGACATTTTACTTGTCACTTCGATCTTCAAAGTGATGAGGGACACCTCATCACTAGGGGCAGTAACACACACCGACTGCGTGTTGGGAGCAATCTTCTTCAAGAGTCATGCAAATTATCTTGACGTTGCTGGATCAGCAGGGTGCTCCGCCCATACTGGCCCTGTCCGTTTTTTGACGGTCCGACTTGCTGTCGCGGCTGGCGACATGGTCGGACCCACGCCTCGGACCCTTCCTTGACCAACGGCGGTCATCACTTCCTATCTTTGGACGTGTTGCAGTGCTCGGGACACTACACTCATGAGCGTAGTGTCCAATCTTCTGACAGCGATGGCATATTGCAGTTCGCTTGTGACTTAGAGATCGAAAGTTCTTGCTCTCGATGTAACAGAGGTCCATAGGTTCGGGACCTCCTGTTTCCTGTCGCCTCGTCGGACGATAGTTGGACGAGTTAGCCTGAGAATGTCTCAGTCTGAAGTCTTCTTGTTCCGCATACGCTATCGCCCTTTCCAGCGTATGGAATTCCTCTCGGAACATGTAGGTCTTCACCGTCCCATCCACAAGGCCGTAGATGAACACGTTGATGAGCGTGTGCTCATCAACAGGGTTATCCGTAACGCTACTCGCAAGGTAGCGCAGGTGCTGTGCGTAAGCGTGCACATCACGCTTAACTTGCTTTAGCCTCAAGAGTGCAGAGCGTGCTTAGAACTCGGCTCTCGGCGGCTCAAACGTCTCTTCATGACGAGACTTCAAGATATCCAACGACTCAAACACGTTTGGGTCGTGAAGCTTGAGCCGTAAGGCCCAAGTCTTTGCTCGTTCCGTCAAATTTGACAGGGCAACGGTGACTTGCATCTCGTCACCCTCGATGTGACGGGCCCTGATGGCATCGTCTAACTCAACGAACCATCTCAAAAGGTAACCTGTCAATCCTCAAGGTTTCGGGTCGACGCATGTGCGTCGGTCCGCCCATCGACTGATGAGAGCCTTGCTTCTGTAAAAAGGCTATCTTCTGTCGTTCGACGGCAAGTTCCCCTTGTAGGAACTTGTTGATAGCAGCATGTTGCTGGTCTCTGCTTAGAGACTCTAACATACCACTGATGGCGGGTTCGTCCATGAGCACACCCATGTGGCCGACTGTCTCCCATGCTGAGTCACTCAGATGGGAGTAGCTTTCACGTGTGACGTGAAAGCTGTCGTCTTCTACGTCCAACATGTCCATGTTGGACGGACACTAAGTAGTAGTTGGACGGACTACGAAGTGCTACCAGGTGTAACGGGGCACCCTTTGTTTGGGGTGCCGCGAAACTTCACGTACACTAGTACGTGCAGAGGAAGCTTAACTACTTGAACGACGCGATCAAGTAAAGGTAAAAGAGAACTGAATTTTATATAGTTAAGCCATCAATATAACTTTAATCTTTATCTAACTATTTAAACTACGCCGTCGTATGACGACAGCCTGCTCACCACTCATTGCGCGCGTCTAGCAGCGATTGGTGTCAATCTATGGTTGATAAGTCTTAGACCAACCAATCTTCGAGCAGCGAATGAATACTTTCCAAAGGGGTTAATATTCCTTCAAAGTTACCCATCTCGGATAATGTCGGTAGAATATTGTCAAACTAGACAAAATTTTAATCGACACCGTTTGGTGTCAATTTTATTTAACGGGCTACATTGTTACGTACCGAGTGTACATTTTAAAGGAAAGGCTTGTCATTGTGGCTTAGTATGTCAAAAATGCCGAGACACTCACATCTACACAAAACGATCAGCTAATACATTCACTGCTCATGGATGACACTGCAACAACTACATTGGATGAGACGAGGATGAAATAATGTGGCAAGACTTTAAGTCGGAGGAGCTACTGGGCGCGCGATGCTTACGGTACTGTGCAGCAACGCAAAAGGCACAGAAGCAGGCGAGGGTTGAATTTAATTATACTGGACTCGATCAACAAGCCTGCTCCGTGATGGATAGTGTCGGGGAGGCTAACCCGAAAAAATATGGACCACCCAATCGCATCCGTCAAAAGGAAAAGTGGCCAATTGCTACGAAGGGCGAGCGTGACGCCCTGGACAAAAATGGAGTATTGGTAGTGGTAGTGCCACCCAAGTAAAGTCATGTTTTGCACACTTAATAGGTGTTTAGAACCAAGACAGACGCTGACGGCGCTAATCAACAACTCAAGGCCAGACTCGTAGCCTGCGGTATTAAACAACTTTTTGGCATTATTTCGAGATTAGTTTTGCGGCAGTCATGGTGTTAAGCACTGTCAAGGTCATCCTCGTTTTTGCGCGACGTTAAGTTGTGCCAGACAATCACGGGTACATTCCAAACACTTAAGTAAAAGCGGCCAAGGACATGGATAGTTACCTTCGTATTCCACAAGTAATGAAATTAATTGACAAATTTACGAAGGGCCACGGCGTGAAAAATGAGAAAGCGTTGGCTCTTCGACTTGTAAAGTCTCTATACGGGCTAAAGCAGGCAGGCCATATGTAGGGTCGTTTGCTACGCGGGAAAATTGGAAGAAGCTAGTTTCACGCGGTACACGACAAATATGTGCTGTATTTAAATCTTCGATATGTGATATGACGGTCGCTGGCGCTAACGTTGGCGACTCGCTGACAACAGAGTCTTTTGCGGCGCTGGTACAGGAATTATTTCTGTCTATGGGTAAATCGTCTATTAAGGACATCATGGAAGTACGGAATTTTTTTGGGATGCGCGCCATTGTGGTGGAGTGGGTTGTAGAAACTGTTTGACGAGACCCCAAATCACTTACTCTGCCGGACTGCCAAATTTCAGAGGGGTACCCCGATGCCGCTTGTGGACCTTGACTCACCTCGTGTACCCGTCGGCTGACGGGTTTCACTCTTCGGAGGACTTGGTGATCATTGTAGACGTCGTTCTTGATGGAGGTTGACCTGGGGGCGGGCCGAGTGGATATGCTTCAGTCGGGGTCTAATTTATGCATCCACTCGATCGACTTGGTTGATGGTGGTCTTATAACCAGTTGGCTCAGGTGCTGGTAGCGCCTGGCCTTTACTTGTCCCAGGGGTGATAACTTCCTGGCCTTTACGTTTCTTCTCCCTCATCTTTATGGTATGGAGAACGCTTCCTATAACGGGCTTGAGTTGGGGGGGAGGGGTGCTACTCTACGAACCCACAGGCCAATATACTTCCTAAGGTTCTACTTACACTTGGGTCTTACTGACAACTGTTCATTCGACGGGTGGGCCAAACAGATCCTTGTCCCGAAACATGCCGGTAGACTTACAAGTTTATTTTCGCACGCGTCGTATGTATTTTTTCACACACGTCGTGCTGCTTGGATCGCAAATTGAGTAGTCTTTATTATCGGCCTATCTTTGAGGCTCCTATAAGCTACCTTCGCCTTGCACCTGGGTTTTTTATGACGAGTGTTCAGGATCCACCAGACCCTGAAGGTCCAAGTGGACCTATGGGTGGCCAGGTCGGCCTTAGGGTGAACAAGGCCCACCTTGGGCAACCAGGCCGACCGAAGGGTGCTCGAAAATGATCTATATCGGTACTGTTCAATTGGTACCGTCGGTAGGTTTGACTCCGTTAGCAGTAACCTTAATCGCTCGTCACAGTTGGACCCGACGGCTGCTCCTTACCTGTGACCCCAAGTCTCCGGTCCCTTTCTCGGCCGCAAGGTCCCATATACGTCCGTCTCATCGACCTTTAAGTCCATCGTTTCCGAATATTTGCTTTACCGCAGACGCCTCTTGCACTTGATCGACTGGACAGCAATTAAAGAACCAGCATGTCTTCACCACGCCAGTCCCGTAAGCTTTACCCTTTCTTGTGGCCAACTTTTTGTCAGCTTCGAACCTGTGTGTTCGTAGCAATGTCTTCACCTATATCCGACTAAACGCCCGAGAATCCGGCCCCAACACCTGCTTCGCCAGCACCTCTACCCTCGGCAGAGGTCTCTACATTTGTGGACCCAATTGTCGCATCGCCTGTCGCCCCCGGTTCTCCAGATTAGTCATTTTTGTTGAACGCTGGTGGGGCAGGCACGACCATGTGATCGACTTCGCTACCGGTCGAGTCGGCTCCAGTCACTTCTGGTGTCATGTCGCACTCAGCCTTGACTTTTGTCAATCCAATTTTCGTCGATGTCGATTCGGATCCACTGATGGACCTCGTCGGCGACCGTCCAACTATGAGCGTAACTCCTGTTGATGTGGTAGCGTTGTCTCGCCGGGTCGAGGCCTGTCATGGTCGACTGATCTCGACGTCTCAGTCACCACATTTTTGTAGCTACTCTGTGAGCGCTTGGAGCGCGAGTTAGGCGACTCCTGCTCCCTCTTGTCACAGCTTTGCTAGAAGTTGCAGCACGAGATGGCGCTGACCGGCCACTGGCGGTAGCAAGTCGACCTTCTCCATAGTCGGATGTCCCCCCTCCCAACAGAGCTAAGTCAGTCCGATTTTTCCAAGCGAACCTTTAACGGGTAGCACTAATGTTGTTCAAGGGACGCCGAAAGACTTGGCCGCAGGAGATCGACCCCCTGCTTCCGTATCCGGAAAGCGGCCCTTACCGAATTCCCTCGCGTTCCACCTCAACTCTCAACCGGCAGAACGAGCGAAGGTGAGCGTGCTGGACGCTCCGACAGCGGGAAAGACGGTCTTCAAGAGCTCTGGGGGGGCTGCGTCGCCGAGCATCACGACATCGGCTGACGCGAGCCTCAGCTCCGACAGCGAGCCAATTCGGTTTGCCAGGCCAGAGCTCTTAAGTTCCGTCTTTGGCTGAAGACTGCGTCTCCGCTATTCCCTGCAGCCATGACTCCCATGCCAGAGGCCCTGACCCCTTGGTCTCATACCAAGGCCATTTTCGGGTCGTCCGAGTTAGAGAATGATCCGCCGTCTCGGAATAATGGTGACCACCCAGTGGCTCGCAATTCTTGTACGCCAGCCGACGAGTACTCGCTTCCGCAAGAGGCCATGATTTCGAGTTTAACTCAAGCAAGGGTGTTCACTGCCAGTAAAGTAGCGCCTTGGACAGTCGACCTGATAAACTTTTAGTAACTCGTGACCATGACGCCTAGCGACCTGACTGACCAAGTAGATTTATTCTCGGGTTGGATCGGTCCGCTAAACGGGAATCTTGATCTTCCAGCAAAATAGAATTTTTCGCTGGTCACTTCTCCCATGGTCAAGAGCCTGATGGCTACGAAGCCTTGGTTGGCCGCCAAGGTTCCTCTTTCTTCTGTGTCTTGCAAGGGGTTGGCTAGTTCGCTGATCTGGCTGAATCGTACACGACCTTTAAAACGAATATGCTCAGTCGCTCTGGGAGGCTACTTACTGCCTCTAGATATTGAATGACCAAGCCCACGATAGCCCCTTCTTCACTTCGTACTACAACGCCCGGAAGAAACGGCGGAGCAGGGCGATCTCGGCGTGGCGTAAGATCGTCGGTCGAGTCTTCGCAGGAATGGACGCTCATTGATGTGGCATTTACATCTTCCCGGATCCTTTCTTCCGACACTTGCCTTTCCATAGCCGTATAGTTTATTGGTACTTTGAGTGTGAGTAGGGGTCATTGCCGGTCGACCTGTTGGCCTATCTTCACTTCTCGCACTCTACGTGGCCATGGATCTCTTAGTACCGACTTACCTCTGAGCCTCACCCAGAAAAAAGGGTCTATCCCCTTCAAACAAGTTATTACCTACTTCGTGGGCGTAATCGCTTGAATAAACATGCTTCCATTCTGTTTCACATCCACATTGTCCGTTCGTTGCATATCAATTACTCAGCAATATCTTTTTCCTTGTCATACAGCGTTGCTTTGCCTTGGTCACCCATAAAAAGTAATTACCGACTCCAGATAAGCCACGATTTGCCTTAGGCTACACTGGACACTCCAGTTGAGTCCTGGCTGACTTCCACATATTTTTGGTTGACCTTAAAACTTATGAAGCTCACAGAGATTATGGCCGATCCACAGACGACCAGGCCGACTAGCGGGTGACCGATATCCTTTCTTGCGACTAGCCTTCGTGACTCTAAAGCACCTAAAACGGTTGTGCTTGTCATTTTGCGTTCGAACTCTTGTAATTTAGCTCCACATTTCAAATCCACTTCGTCGATTCATGAGGGTCCTGTGACCGCTTTAACGGATGAAGACCTTGAGCCGTTACTAACCGTAAACATCTTCGTGCTTACACAACTTTCCAAAATCTCTAT